AAATGCAGATTCAAAAATTGTATGCCTAACTTCAAGAATGCATTAATTGAGATAAAATATTTCTACAAAATGGAAAGGTATATGTTTGATACCAACTGTAAGAAAAATGAATTTAAAGTACTGTATATTATTTATATTCTGGTGCACTCTTTTAGAAGAAAAATAACTTTTACAATTTAATAAATATGTAGATTACATTTCTGTTTGAACTGTTTCACTGTAACACAATGAGATGATAAACAACTTGTTTTTGTTTTGTTATTCCGTGGCATTACATGGATGTGGATGAATAAAAAGAAAAGAAGAAAAAAAAAACTTTGAAGAAATTACATTAGTTTCTTTCCAAAATTCTATTACTTTAGTGTTAAGTTGAATTTTCTTTGCTTTTGAATTTCGTTTTGTGTGCTGCTTTCTTCTTTCTATTTTGATGGTTTGTTTTGTAACTCATACCACTGAAAACCAGTACACAAGTACTAAAAGATACTGCAGTTACTGCAGGTGGTCTGTATTGCTTTGTTTATAGAATAGAACATTTATATAGCGCCAGTATCCGTCATATATGGTGCTCATGGCGCTTTTGCAAGTGTTTCATTGGTTATATGCAGCACTAAAAAGGAAAGTTTTGAGCTCTCTCTTGAAACTTCCAAGATCCTGTGTCTATCCTGATGTGGATGGGGAGGCTATTCCATACTTGTGCCGAGGCAAAAAAAAAAATTAGCGTTCTCTCCTCCTGGTATTTGATGATATTTCAGAGAGCAGTCCAAGACTGGATGGTCTAAGTCCTGCTTGTGATGATTCATATGTATTCACATATTCTGCAAGATATGAAGGGCCATGTTCATTGAGAACAAATGTGGCAAAGACAAGCCAAACCAGTCACTCGTCGCAAAAATCGATTTTGAGTTATTAATACAGTGTTAGAGAGTAAAATAATAGCTATAAAATGGTAAAAAAATCTTTCAAATCAGACATTTCCTTATGAAGTTACAAGCATTTAAACATACAGCTGTTTAAAGAACAATATATGAGAAATGAGCCTTCAAAGTTTATGATTTCAGGCATACTCATGCAGAAACTATCATCAAATCCCTAAAAAGTGTTGTTTTAACATTGAAAATGGGAAAATAACAGCATAGAATGACACATAGATATGTAAAGATTAGTTTAGTGCGATAAAATGGATTTTAAAAAATTTGACATTCCAGCATGTTTTGGCCATTTTCTCTGAACCACGATTTGCGACGAGTGACGGGTTTGGCTTGTCTTTGCCACAAATAATAATGCATACAGTAAATTATGTCACTGTTTATATCCTATTGCATGAGTCCTAACATGACTAATAATCAAATTAAAGATATTAATTGTTTTGATTTGATATGTTTCATTAAAGAAGTTAATTAATTATATAACCTTTTTAAATTGAGCAAAAAATCTTTTAAATAATTCATTTAACATTAAAATTCCAGATATTTTCTTTGACTACTGTATATTGAATGTTTCTATCAACCCCATGTACTTGCCAGTCCTCCTTTTTTTTCAAATTAACTAAAATTTTAAATTTAAATTAAATTAACTATTAGGTCAAAGTTAGTAAAGATAATTTGAATCATTTCTTCTTCTTTTTTTAATACATTAATCCTTAATCATGTGATTTATATAGTTCAAATAAGTCTGTCTATGATTTTCTATGAAATAAAATGAAATTTTTGAAGATTTGTGTTTCCCTTTCATCACATGTTTTCATGCGTTGATGTAAAACACTTGGCGTGTAAATCTTGTGATGATTTTAAAATTCTGTGCTATTTTTGTCTATGTTCTTATAATCATGTGTTTTCATGCATATAAGAACTAAGATCTGTATTTAAGCACCCTTTTATGCAGTTGGGCTGAGGTTATGGAAATCCCATACTATTTTTGATTATTTGCCTATAAAGCAGGTGCTGTAATTTCACATCCTTTAATACTGTACATTGTAGGTATGGTGCAAAATAATAAAGAATGGAAACTCCTTTTAACATTTGGTTGTCATCCCTTTTAATAATCAGGTGCTTCATTTTCACTTTATTTAATATGTGGAGTTTTGCAATCCTTCCATTTGGAATTTTAAATTCAAAACTTGGAAATCCCCAAAACTATTTAAATACTCTTTTACATTTTTGTTTACGTGGATCCCATGCTTCATTTGAAATATTTATATAGAGAACTTTAAAAGTGAAACTGTTTGTAGCCTTTCTGGGATTGATTACTCGTTAAAGTAATTGTTGATATTCTTGGATTTTCATTTTAAATTTTGTTCATTCTAACTTGGAAGAGCGTAGAGGCAACTTTGTGGTGCATTATGTGGTATATAAGACTTTCATTATTGTTATTATTTATTATTATTATTATTATTATTATTATTATTATTATTATTATTATTATTATTATTATTATTATTATTAATTATTATTAATATGCACAATCCAGGGCCTTGGCCATTTTAAGATTTACCAAGGCTAGAAATTAGATTGATATCGTGAACTATTATTTTTTGAAATCATGCACTTGGAAAAATCCCCACTCATTTTGAAATATGGTTGAACCCGATGATGTCACTTCATATGACCAATAGAAAGCCACAGGTACGACCCAACCAAGGTCAGACCATCCGAATAAGGAAATGCCTTTTGCCATGTGATAGCATGTCTAACGGTTTCATTATTTAATAGTATTTATAAGTGTCTGTCTGTAAAACTGGCAGTCTACAACAGGCAGCAAGCCGACATTGTATTATAGATTTACTCTGTAGAGAACATTTCATAGGAATAACAGGGACTTTCAAATTATTCATTTGGTTTTAAATTGAGCCTGGTTGTTCAATATGGACTTCAAGAAGGAGATTATTGAGAGGCAGCAGTCTGGTAAATTTTTTAAATCTAGTCGCTGGTCGGTTAGACGGAGTGTTCGAAAGTTTATCTTGAAAAGGCAGACTAGTGTACCACCTACGCTTAGTGCTCACGGGATACAGCAGTCTAAAGCATATGATAGTGTAGTAAGCTGTTGTTTATTTTATCGTAGTTCATAGTTACTTAAAATGTCATAAATCTGAGTATTAAATAATGATTGTTGTGCATTTTAAAATTAATTTACTGGCCATCTTGTGACTGCAGCACCATTGTAGAATTGTAAACATAGGGCCTACAGTTGATTGTTGAATGTTGCAGAAAATGATTCGACAAAATTATCTAGGCCCAATAAAAAAAAAATTAGTTTATCACCATTGCATGCATGTCTTCTATGGTATTGAAAAAAAATATATGTATTTTTGAAAGAAATTTTTTTTTTTTTTTTTTTTTTTTTTCATTTTTTTTTTTTAGTAGATAGTTAGTAGATATTATTTTACTTTGAAAATCAATGCACCAGCAAACAACAACCTAAGGGTAATATTTGGCTAGCAAAATATAAAATAAAAACCTCCCTTTTTCAACCTAAATAGGGCGATAAAATAATATTTTTATTTATTTATTTATTTAGTGATTAAAAGAAAGTATTAGTTGTGGGAATGTAAATTTGCTATCATTATCATAACCACTTTATATAAACATTGAAAATCTTAGTATTGTCCGATAAATTTTTAGCAGCCATGATTGCTATAATAATAATAAAATATGAAAATCTAGTAGAAAAGTAAACAAAAGTATGCAAAACAAAAGTAAACCAAAATGATATAAAATATTGAAAACTAAAGTATAACAAGACTTTCAACAAAACTTTAAAAATTTTATGTATACACATTTTTTAGGAAGGAAGTTGTCATGTTTGAAATTTGAAAACAACAATAACTTGAATAGCTACTATGTGTTTTTTTAACTGAAAATGGGAATCAATTGAGATTTGACAGGAACCTCCCGGTAATTGGCATGATCTTCTGCACTCATGCGAGCAGCGACCTAGAACTGACCTATCTCCCACAAAATCAGGATCCTTGCATGTGTTTTTACTTCTGTTTAATTAATTTTTCCTGAAGTTGGCCAAACATGGGCAGCAACCTACATACTGAAGTGTCCTGTAGAGGAGCTCATTAAACCGGATCTCCTGGAAGTGGCTTCTAAGAGACCCCTGAGAATCACACTATAATTAGTCTTTCCATGTCGGTTGATAGACAGTGTTCTACTATACTTTAACGTAAAAGTCTGATCAAACAATGTTGAGTTTGACAGACACAACTTAAATAAACCATGTTTTTAAATCACATGCCTGTTGATATTTCACTTGATTATGACCAAAATGACCAAACCTGATTTAGGTGAGACTTTTTTTTTATGCCTTATAGCAAACTTGCCGCCCGCCAATAATGATGATTTCAAAGGTAAATAAAATTTTATTTTTGGCCAAATTAGCACACCCCCCACCACAAAAAAAAATGGAAATTTCAGCAAAAAATGAAAGTTTTCTTTATTTTTATTACACCAGCCGCTGCCTTGAAATTTAACCATCCCATTACTACATTGTTTACATTCACCAATAAAAATTTTATTTTTATTTTCTCCTCTGTCTGGATGTTTTTGGCAAAACAAGGTACTGTATAAAAAAGTCTTGCCTTAATATGATGGTAGTGATTGTTCCTTAGTCATAAGATCAAACAGTTATATCGTCGCTCACATCACGAACTAACACAACACGAACTAACACAATAAAATTAAATTAGATTGTGATAGTTAAAAAAGCGCGTCAAAATATACGCTGTTGTTACAGACTTTTTGTGTGGTAAAGAATGCAAAAGTGCCTGACAACCAATACGCGCTTGTTTAGACGCACTTCTGTGATCGATTTCACGAACTAACACAATCTACTTTGATTGTGTTAGAATGTTTGTGATTAAACGAAAATGTTAACGTTGCTTGTGAAGAAGGTGATAGGTTAAAAACAATTTTAGTTTTAGTTATGTTTATAAAAGGTAAAAGCCAGATACATATTATAAAATAATAAAGATGATTATTGTCCCTCTTTCTTCTGGCAAGGTTGTTCAAGTTATGCGAGAGGCGAATGCTAAATTTGCTCAGCCTGGAGACTGCCCTCTCCTTGTTGGAGAGCGTATTGAAGGAATAGGTAAGTAAAACATTTTTAATAGTCGAGGGGGAAGCAACTCAGCAAGTTTTTTTTTTTTTTAGGGGAGGCATGTTGGGAGATCGTTTCCGCGCTCTCCCCAAGATACGCCACTGCTTCTGCACAGCATCGATTGTGCAATTTTTGTACAATTCCTAAATTAGTTATTTATATAAAATAATAAGAATAATAAATTATATGCAATTGCATTTCTTTTGTATATTTTGTACTTTTCCCTATGACCTTGCAAACAACATATTTGATTTTGGATGTGGAAGAAAATCAAATATTAAAAAATGTTTTTAAAATGTTACATCACAACCAATCGGGAAAGACGAATCAGGATGTTTCCATTTACATCAGGCATGAATACTACTAACTAGCATGGGAACATGTGCAATCTACATGTACATGTTATTCTAAAAATAGTCGCAAGTGCATGACGTCTACTTTGGTGAACACAGAGTAGTGACACAGTATGGTAGCTGTGAGTCGACGATAACGACTCGTTATGACCTGTGTTCTACTTGTAACTAATAGCAACCTTTGGATTTAAACCGTTGGTTTGCAGATTAATTGATCCCATGTAAAGGAAATAAGTTCCCTTTTGACTTAACTGGAATTTATTATAGACTTAGAAAGATCTTCAAGCAATTGCAATACATTATCTTATACCTTCCTTCCCTAATTAGAAAAGTAACTTTATCCCAGTGGAGGGATAAAACTGTTTATTTTAAGCATGCTATGTTTATGTTTATACACTATAGTATATTATTACAGGTTTTTTTTTAAATTTAGAGATAAAAAAGACAATTCCATATAAATCTTTGGATTTATAATCTCAAAAGTATAGGCCTAACCATTCATTCTGACTTAAGAGAACATTACATTTTCTTTTTTTTTGCACTTATGCAGTGACCAAAGTAATTCAGTTGAATAAGTAGTGCACATGTTTGTGTATTATATAATAATTATATCTACTTAAACAAAAATGTCTGTTCCCCCGACCATTAAATTTGTCTCGATATAATTCTTCCAGCACCAAATGTGTACACTACAGTATATAACCAAACAGTTTATTCAAATTTATTTTTTTTTATTCCTCAAAAATGCCTCCAGAAAGTTCATGATGCCTCCATCTGCTGGTTGCATGGTCATGCACTTTCCCCAGCCCTGGTCCTATACTAATTGCCAAATCTTTATTATTATTTTTTTTTGTTTTTTTTTTTTTTTTTTTTTTTTTTTGCTTAATACATTCTCCTGTTTTTCTTAACCTTTTGCTTTTCCTCTCAACTACTGTACCAAAATTGAATTTACATACATGGTCATTAAATACATGAATTTCATTAAATTGCTATTTGTATCGTACTATAGGTATTTTTCATAATGCACAAGAAGATAAAATACTTTATATATTTCCGGTTGTATATTTCGACGTATTAAATGAAGTAATTCTGAACATTTCAAATTGCACAACTCTTTGTAATTAACTGACGGAGATATTGTTATTTTTGAATTGTGTTTTGACGTCAAAAGGTGTATTATGATGTAGTATGCCCTTAAAAATGGTCGGAAGTCGGGGGCCCTGCCAGGTGAAGCCAATTCAGTCAGTTACTGTATACATTGCAGAAACTGCAACACCGCTGAACTGCTGAGGACATACAGTGCAACGTCACTGAACATCGTCATGACTATTGAAATATATTACAATGGTTTTAGTCATTTGACAAAGAGTTGCGTTAAAACTCAAGACAGTGTGAAAAAGTTCTCCATTATTACACTGGTTTCACAGAAAAGAAATAATGACAGCCTACAATAACTACATAGTTTAACTAGCTGAAATTCTTTGAATATTTTTTCTCATTATACTTCGTTGCTCATGGTGATAAAAATATGTGGAATCTGACAGGCTGACGTTGATTATGAAAACAAATATTACAAAGTATGAGAGCTGCTTAGATTAGACGTGGAGATCTCTAGGACCCCGGTTCAATTCCCATCGCTGCTGTCCTTGTGTTTTATCTAGAGGGCTAAAATGCAAGTTATGATAGCGCACCGTCTTTTTTGATGAGAATTTTAAGCCGTTGGTCCCGTGTGCATTTATGGCCCATGTGCACGTTGAATGCAGTAGACTATTCGGGAAATAGTAGGGGATGGTGTATTGCCCAATCACCACCAGATGAGCCCCACTTGAAAATAGTCTTAAAGACTTCCGGGGGTTATCTTTGGTGTTACAGTAAATCCATCTATCAAAATATAGTACTGTCACAAGTTTAACAGCATCTGATATCAAAGATTATATATACAGTAATTAATTAGATTTTTTGATATAAATCAGTCTTTACTTGAACCTAACGAGTTAAGCATTAGATTATAGGTTGAATTACAAGGCATGCCTTGACATTAATCATCAAGTTCAAACTCCCTTTGTTATATATTTCGCTGATACATTATGATCAATTCTTACATTTTAACTTCAGGAAAAGAATTTAATTGGGAAGCGTCACAGAGTTACACGAATATTTGATGGGCGAGATGCCAAAGCATTCAAGTATTTTCGCCCCAAAAATGGGCAAACACTCGCAAACATCGAATAGTTTTATTTGTCTTCAGGTACCTCACATTTTATTTTATTCTTGAATTAGTCACTTGGGGCATACCTCATAAAAAAGGACAAAAATATTGTTTCAATACTCTTGAACAATGGAAGGTTGGCACCATTTTTTTTTTCAAAGTTCATGCTTCCTTGATCGGAGTCTTTGATGTAATTCAATAGTGTTAAACTATTAAGTATTTAACCAAGCATTTAAGATTCACAAGCTACGATTATGGAAGGGTAATTCCGATCCAATCCAATCCAAGCAGGCCCTATTTTGCCTGTCCTCCCTTAAATGCAGTACAAAAAGTAGGGTATAAAATTAATAAATTATTATATTTATATTTTTTTTTCTATTTCCACCACATTTTTTTTTTGTGCTACATTTCGCCAGTTTTTTGCAAGTCAGATAATCCAAGAATAGACTAAAATGTTATCATTTAATTTCATGCGCAGTGTGTTGATTTTTTTAATTTGTTCATAAGCCACATTCACGAAATCAGGTTTTCATCTTACATAAGAATTTATAATCATAGAGCTGCCTTAATATTCAACTTAAAATTGTATTAATAATTAAGACAATTGTAATTGATTATGAAAAAAAATTGCTTCAAACCGCACTACACATATAGTACTTGGTATTTAGCTGAGTAATGGCCACAAATGTCCACTGACTTTACCGGCGCATAGTCCAGTGAAATAGATAGTGAGCAAATCAGTGACAGGCCCATTGCTTTGAAGCGCCTGCGATATCTGTATGAATAAATATTGCTAGTCAGTGGCTTATCTAAGAATTGGGAAAAAGGGAGGTTACGCTAATGGGGGAACGTAAGTGAGTGGATTCTAGCTTGCAAAAGAAGTTGATTCTTGACTGCTTTAACATAATTTGTTTGCTTTCAGCATTTTCTATTAGGGAAGCATTTAGGGACCCCCTCCTTGCACACATTTAGCTAATCTGTTCACGTGCTATCATTGGGAAGTCTGGTTTCCCCTCAGCTTGCAGTTATTAATAGTGGTGGGTGGCAAATTACAGCATGTGTTGCTACAACTTCAAGCCTGGGAAATAGTGTCTTATCTCCATCCTGAAGAAATGTTTGAAAATTGAAGTAGTCGGCTATCTAACATGACATTACTTTTTTAACAATAACAGAATCTTGATATTGAAATTAAATAACACTTTAGTTTAAACTTAAATAACTTATCTGTAAAACCCTTTTGTAAATGATGATCTTTTGATATTTATAATTTATATATGAGCATCATATTTAATTGTGAAATTAAATGATTTTAAGAAATTGCATTGGCAAATGCAGCTAGATTAGCCTACTCACTTTAAAATTCAACTTCAAGATATTTATTTTTACTGGTACTGGTATTTGTAGACGTCTGATTTCGACATTCAGCAATCATTGACATTATGTTGACGTAATCAAATTACTAATTAATTATGTTAAAAAAAAAATGAAATATGTTAAACCTTTTAAAATGGATACAAATCGACAGACTATTTTGTTGAAGCCATGAACAGCACAAATAAAACTGTACGTCTTCTATTTTGTAAATCTTCTATTCTGTACGTCTTCTATTTTGTTGTTTTATTTGTGATTTTCATTAACATTGAAAGGTATGCTATCCACTAATGTGTCTCTACTCGGATGCTCTTTCGTAAAAGACCAGTGAGGTCACACTCATTATATTGTGGGAAAAACAAAACAATTTAACCTAAAACTGGTACTTCAGATTTCAGACACCATTATCACCTCATTGAAATTAAACAATAAATGTATTTTATCAGAAAAGTCATCCAAAGTGCTTGAAATTCTTAACCAGGGATATCTTTTTCAGTAGCTCACTTCCACAAGCTATGCCTACTGTTTTTTATAAGCTCTGTCCTACTGTCAAAATTTAGTTAAAAAGTAAATGTCATTATATACAGTATAGGTATAATTTGAAACTACAATATGCCCATATATTAGGCCAAATATAAAAATATACTAAGCATCAGCACCTGATACGATTTTAATCGTGTGGGAAATATCCTCAAGTAGCTTTATAGTGGTTCACACAGCTCTGTTCCTTTTAATGTTGCACACTATCAAATTTTAGGTAAAAAATAAATATGTCCATATTTGGGTATAATTTGACACCATTATGCCCATATATAACACAAATTTTTCACCTAAAATTTGATAGTGAGGCGAGAGCTTTAGAGTTTAATAGTAGTTCACATGGTTCCCCCCTTTAATGTTGTACTGTAGACCCCTAGATCTGTTACCAACAATATCTGATGTGTCTGGACTGAACAGTGACTCCCACTCAACCATTGTCTGATGTCTGTCTCAAACACACCAACAGTAAATTTCTTGTCTGATATCACTGAACAAAAATTTTGTATCTTTGATTTTAGAATACTTTACTGACTCATGTTTATTGAATAATGTTTTTACTGTACTGAGCAACTTGATTTATGGTGTTATTATTAAGCTGTTTATTTAGTCTTGTTTGTTGTACAGTATACAGTACTTTCTAATCCCATGACTAATATGAAACTTTCGTAAAGATTGCACTTAATGTGATTGGCGTTATTGATTTTTTACGTTGTTATCAGAATTTAGAAACATATCAATGTTGTTCATTTGAAAACAATGTATTTTGTGAAGGTACAGTAGGGATGATATTCAATCTCGGACCCTCAATACTCTGTGTAAAGCAAGTCTCTGTGTGAGGCTATGAGCCGAGGAAAGCTGCTCATTTAAAGTTCTGTGATATTCTATAAAACCAAGTCTTATGTGGCATTTGGATTAGAGAGCTGATCACTAGGTATCCTTAATGCCTTATCCGAGTCATAGGGAATAGAGTGCTAATTATTTGAGACCCTTGATTTTAACCAAGGCATGGTTGATTGTGAAAATCATAAAAACTCTCAAAAACTATGAGAAAGCTACCAGAAGCAAGTGCGTACGTAAACAACATTGTTTTTTTTTTTCACGTGTCAGTCTGATTCATAGCCAGGGGAAGTGAACCGGGTGGCTCCTCTTTTGATCTCGTGTTTATCTAACCGCCGTTAACATCCATGCATGGATGAATTCTGATATTAAAGTTTCCTTTTGCTTCTTTTTCTCTTAGCATTGTCATATCCTGTTTTTCAAAAAAAAAAAAAATTATCATCAACAAGTCTTTATTATTCTTCTTACAGCTAAAGATGTGACGTATCTCTGCCCATTTACAGAGGAAGCCATCAGGGGTTCACTAACTATAACAAATTACAAGCTTTACTTCAGTGGGACAGAACAGGATCGGGTAAGAACTAGAAAGGTGCCTAAACTATGATGAGCATACAGACCATAAGCCTGGCATAAACTATGAAATTTGTGAGACAGATGATGTTGGATCAGATTCCTTTGTATGATCAAACAAATTATGTATCTTCAGTGTTCTGTACTTCAAGAAAGTCTGATGAAACTTGTCTGTTGTTTCTGAAAAATATCTGATATTTTGCATAGTTTCCAAGCTTTGAACGTGTCCAAGATAAATGAGAATTTTATTTTATTGGAAATTACAATGTGTTATGAGTTTTTTTTTTTTTTTTTGATGTTGCAATTTTTATTGTAATTTGTGTTGTTTACTGGTGAGTATTTTGTTGATGTTGCTATTGATGTTTAATATTGTTGATGCTGCAGGTAATTGTTGATGTTATTGTTGTTATCGGTTATAATGCACACATTTTGTAGATTAAATTATAAATGTTTTGTTTCTAAAATATATTACAATTGCATGCTTACTGTAGTACATGTTGCTGTACAATAGACTTGGCAAGGCTAATATTTACTGTCTGGCTGCCTTTAATGAGCATGCTCAAACCATGCTCATTTGTTGTTCACTTCCAAATTAAAAGACTGAATCGAATCCTCAATAGCAGCTGTTTGTCTGCATCGCTATTGTTACACCATTATTGTAACTTTTTCTGATTGGGATGATACACAAATATCCAATCAGAATCAGGCATTAGCTTGAGACTGGTGTAACAATTAAATCGAACTAAATCCAATTCTCAATAAGCAGCTATCTGTCTGTTGCTATTGTTACACAACTTTTAAGGTTTTTCTGAGTGGAAAACTTGTTGATATTATTGACCGATGATACACAAATATCCAATCAGAATCAAGAATTAGCTTGAAACTGGTGTAACAATATCCGCTGCCTAATTTCTATTGTTTTCCTTACCAATTCTGTTGTTTAGGATCCACAGTTTATACTGGATGTACCCCTTGGAGCTATTCACAGAGTCGAGAAAGTCGGTGGCGTATCTAGTCGAGGTGAGAACTCGTATGGTCTAGAGATTTTCTGCAAGGTGAGTAAACAATTTAGTAAATAAAAAAGGTGATATAGATGGAGATTTTTTTTTTTTAAATTTAAATTATTGTTTATATTCATTTTTAGAAGGATGTGTAGCTTAAGTTTGTATTTCCTTGTCACTTGTGTCTATCTGAAGCATTAAAATCAATCTCTACAATTTTTCTTAAAGATGTATTGTCCCTGGCTCTAATGTCTAAAAATCATAAAAAATAATTTTGAAATAAACTTGCTCATATTGATATCATACAAATTGTGCATACAAATTATTGAATTAAAAAAATGTGTACACTGATTTTTAAACCAAGAAATTATAATAAAAATAATATAAAAATAAAACACTTCCAGTGACTGGAAGTGTTTCTATAATTTTTCACTGTAAACTGATGGGTAGATATTTTTTAAATACACTAATTTCTATGTTCAAGTTGATAACTTTTATGTTACTTTAAAATGGACAAGTTAATTTCAAAAAATATTTTTATGATTTTTTTTTTGTACTTGTATGGGACAATACATCTTTAAGTCCTGTCCAGACTCAAATTTTATCTGGCAAAATATTTGACATGCCTATATATGGTCATAATGACACCACAATCTGACCATAGGCACATCATGACAAAATATGGGCATAAAACCATTATTAAGATGTAACCTCATCTCTTTACAAGTTGTGAATTTGAAAGGCTCATGAATTTTTGCTTAAAAATGTTTCCTAATAAACACATTAATAAGTAGGTTATGCATATAGGAAACATGATGCCAAGATTGACAAGTTCGGAGCGTGTGTTCTGTAAGGATAAATTAATTCCACGCAGTAATGTTGTCAAGTTTCCTGATTCGATTCTGTACATGGGGACTTTGAAACGAATTGAGCAGCAAAAACAGAATGTTTATTTTAGCTTTTGAATGTTAACTACTTTCAAGTTGTTTCTCGACCATGAAAAAACATCAAATGAGTTTTGTTCTTGATATTTTCATTGCAATTAATATCATAAATCTTAATTAGAGTTATAATGATGAAGTAAAATATTACCTTAATTGGAAGCTGCACAATTTCAATATACAAACTTGTTATAATTATGTAATAATAATAAATAATAATTATTATTTATTAGAAAACAACACTTTTTAAACAGTTGGCACACTTTACATGATGAAGGTACATCCAAAATTTACGACATAAATACTAAAAACAAGTAGTTGGTGCATCAATTGTGGCTTGGACTCCCAACCTTGAGGTCAGGGGTTCGAAGTTCTCGCTTGTGTCCTTAAGCAAGGCACTTTATCTACGCTTGTCTCTCTCTACCCTGGAGTATAAATGGGTATCTGGTCGGATGTTGTGGCATTGAATGTTATTAGTTTTTTGTGCGCTAAACAGTATTTGGGAATTATTATATAAAGATAACAAGGTCTTAAGTACAAGAATAAATGTCACTCAAGCAATTGACAAGACAACCTCCATCTAATACCCACCCTCATCAAAATATCATTAGGAAATTATGCCTCAATAGAAGCAAAATGACCCCAGAGTGACCCTTATTCCATTTAAAAATAATACTTACTAAAGAAGATCATCAAAACTCAAACTTAAAATTTCTGTTACAGTAAATCAGAAAATAAAATGAACTCTTATTTGTATAAAAAATTAATAATAATAAAAAAAAAGAAATAAAAAAATAAAAGAAGTAAAAAGATACAGTATATAAAGTTAATAACAGCTAGTATTTTGAGAAGAATAGTCTTAATAGAATAATTAATTTTTATCAAAACACAAAATCACATGTCACTGGAATTTTTTGCAGAATCACAAGTAAGTAAGACTATCATCTTTTCTTTACAAAAAAAAACTGTTGTATGCACATATATAGTCATGATGTGCCTATATATGGTCATGATGTGATGTCATCATGACCATATTTAGGCATGTCACATGTTTTTTCAAATAAAATTTAATAGTCTGGACATAAATTAAAAGCAAACTAATTTAATTTTGACTATTACCAGGGACTTTGTTTATGTAATATATGAGGAAGTTTGTTGCTGATGATCATAGTTTATTAACATAAATCTGCATGTTGATTTAGTGCAGGCAAGCTGCAGTTTTGAGGATGGTTTCATTCTCTCAAGTTCATGCTGCACTTTTAAATTTCAAATGCTTCTACACTCCAAAAAGGAAGTTTTACATAAAAACAAAACGGTATATGAGAGTTAAATGCTTGAAGACTTGAGGGCTCTTCATCTGCATCAGAAAGCTGTAATGTCACTTTCAGTTTATTAAAAAAAAAAAACATTTTTTTTTTTTTTTCACTTTTTCTTTTGTAGGATATGAGGAACTTGAGGTTTGCACACAAACAAGAGAAGCACTCGAGGAGACTTGTAAATGATAAACTAAACCAATTTGCTTTCCCGATTTCAAATAAAGCAGTAAGAACCTTTTTATATGTATACATTACAGTTGGCATAGTGTATTCATTTGAAAAAAATTTAAAAGTGATAGAGTACTCTGCAAACAAATGTTTTTACTAAATTCTAAATTATAGGTGGCAAAGACAAGCCAAACTAGTCTCGCCTAGCAAAAATTGATTTCTTAAAATTGTTGAACAGTAAAATGAAAGTTATAAAATGGTCATCATTTAATCCGATGTTTCGTTGCGAAGTTATAGGGGTTTAAACATATATACAGCGGTTTAAGTAACAGTATTGGAGAAATCAGCCTCATCAGGGAATTCACAAACTCATAGTCGTTAAAAAATATTGTTTTAACGTCAAAGGTTCGGGAAATAACAACATAGCATGATGTATAGATAGCCTGTGTATATAGTTTTCTGCAGTAAGATAGATTTTGAAAATGTTGACATTCCAATCATGTTTTGGCCATTATCTCAGAAACATGATTTGTTGAGAGTGATTTGTTTGGCGTGTATACAAAATTTTATTCTCTTTAGTCCAAGTTATTGAAGAAGAACTTGTAAAGATATACAATTTTTTTTTAAACGGTCGCTAGACCAATAAGTGACAAGTTTCTTTTATCGGTTTCCTGTTTTTGGGAACACCATGTACGTATTACTTCCTTGTTTCCTGGATACCCATTGCAGTCTTGACGTACGCCAGTCGTTTCCTCTTGGGCGGTAATTCCTACAAAATCATTTCAGCGTGTTTTTCAAATATCGATCAGATCATTTTTGTAGATTATATTTTGATCCTCTATCCTGAACTAATGGTTATAATTGTGGGTATTGAAGTATATAATATGATTTTTTAATGTGTGTTGATTATAAAATTATAAACGCCAAATGTATTCTTGATCAGTAAAGTAAGTTTGTGCCGTTACACTCATTACATTACTTAATGTGTTTAGCATCCTTGGTAAAATGCATAACACAATATTGATATTATTATTGTTGACTTGAACAATTTATGGTAAAGTCATCAACACTGTTGGTTTTTGCTGATATAATTTATCCAGACTTAAACCTGGCTGTAACCCCCAAATAGGTTGTTTTTGTAAATAATATAGGGTCTTCCACACTACAGCTTTTTTTTAATGCAGTTGTTAACAAAACCTAATAAAGTTATTTTCCTACTGAATATTGTTATTGTTATTTGTTCATTATTATTATTATTATTATTATTATTATTATTATTATTATTGTTGTTGTTTTTTATTCTTTCATTGATATTATATCATAGTTAATACTTAATATTATATATTTATTTGTTATTATTTTATTATTGCTGTTATACCTATTTTTTTACTTTTTAAATTAATTAATTAAATATATTGTCTCCACAGTGATTCGAACCCAACAAACTATACCAATGACCTAATCTGATTTGATTGAATTTATATATTTTATAGATTGGAATCAAGAATTATTTTCAAGGATAAGCCAATAAAACCCGGAGTCATATTTCTATTTAGTAACTTTCCTTTAAATCCTAGGGGAAAAATTTTTCCATACAAAATTTTGATATTAATTCATATGGGAGTAAGTGCAGTCTCTGGTACCAAGAGATAATTTAATGGTAGCGACCATCATTTTGTCTCCGCTAAATAAGTATTGACAGCCTAAATAACCCAGTTTCGTAACCACTTTTAATTCTATAACAAGTAAATAGTATTATTCATACATTATAGTTACTGTATCTTAGCTGTAGAATGATGGCAACCTATTGTTGTTGCTATACTACCAGCATATATTCAATTCTTTGTTATGATGTTTGAATTCATTCATTGAAAGGCTTGTAAACATGTATGCAGAGGGTATTCTATTTCTACTACTACTTATGATCACCATAGCACTGAGCAGATATAAATTAATGATATTTAAATTATATTGAGATATATTTTCATGTTTAAATGGACAATAAACAAGTAATACTGAAACTTTGTCTTTTTTCATTATATAATACAATAATTAATGACCTTACAATCTCATATCACCTGTGACATTTAACCTTTGAACCTTTGACACTTAGGCTTATAAGGTTTTGTCTCATATTGAATAAATTCAATATATTATAACCTTTGACAATTACTTGACATTACTCTGTGTCACTTGCAACAACTTTGACCTATTTGATAATGACCTTTTGAAACATTTTTATTTCTTCATAGGCTTTGTTTGCCTTTGAATATAAAGAATATCATAGTGACGATGGTTGGACGGTGTTCAACCCAGTAGCAGAACTTCGACGTCAGGTAAATTATTGGCTCAAATCTTTATCAAAGAATTTCCCTGTGTTAAACCTTATCCTCTATATGTGAGGCCTCACCACAAAATGAGTCTCATGGTTAAAATATCATAAATTGAGTTAATATTATATTTGGGTAGATCACATTATAAGCTTTAATTTGGTCTTTGAATGGCTTCACTAGGATATGTAGATCCAGAAATGTGAGCATTTAAATATTATGTTGAAGAGAACCACATTTTGAGAAAATCGGCCTCCAAGATAAACTAACCTGTACAAATAATAGGACTAGAATTACTGAAAATGCACAGAGAACACTGTTTTAGTAAGAAAATTCACTTAAAAAAAGTATACAGTCTTTAAATATAAATATCAAGTTATTCAAAAACATTAAAATCAAAATTGTGTAAAATTTTGACTTTGACCTATTTTGGTGATTATCTCAAAATGATTTCACCAACGATGCATCTCATTTCGTGGTGAGACCACATATGTACTTTATGTTTAATTAGATTTTCCACTATGTCATTGATTTGATAAGCTCAAGTACAGAATGTATCAATGATCATTTAGATATCTATGAAGTATCATTTTTTTCATTAAATTTTACTGTTATTAATGAAGTGGATATAGGGTCAGTGTGGTGTGCTTATAAAAAACATTTATTTTTATATTTTTAGGGAATTCCAACAGAAAGCTGGAGGATTAGCAGAATCAATGAGCATTATACCTTTTGTGAAACATATCCCAGTGTAGTAAGTATCAGATATTATTTATCTAATCATTACTTAACTATTTGTTTATATTGTGTTCGCGGTGCTACACAGAAAACCTAATTTGAATATTATTTAATTAGATTTCCAAGCTGCAACCTACAAGCTGTTCCAGCTTAACTTTAGCCTCACTATATGTGAGCGTTTCATTCAGTTGTATCAAAGTGCCTGGGGGTTAGATCTGTGCATATACCATAAGGTCTCTGTGGTCTAATGGTATGATACAATTACTTTGATAGCGAAAGGTTTCGAATTCTTTTTTTTTTTCATACTTGAACTGAAAATAAGGAACATTTCGTTGAAGGCTTGATATTATTATAACATCAAGTTCATATTTGTGCAATATTATTGTCATTAGTATATCTATTTGTTTATATAAGTATAAGAAAAGATTATACTCATAAAATCATGTCACCTAAGCCCTTCACTTTCCCCCATTTACTTCGTTCCTCCCTCCTATAATTTCACTCCCATTAAGCGTAGGAGTTACCTATCAACTATTATATTTGTAACTGTCAAAAATCATTAATGATACAAATGCCCCTCAGTCTACTAATTATCAATGCAAGGTCCCGCTATATTGCTGTCACGAAATCAGTGTAATTAACTTTCTTTTTTTATAAAACTGAGGAGCTGCTAACATTCTGATTGTTTTTTAATAGTCAAGTAATTTTTAATAGACGTTGAAATTTATATTAAATTTCTTACAGCAAGTGACATTGAAATTAAATATCAAATTTATGTACCAGTCATCATACAGTAATGATTATTCGTCCTTTTTGTTTAAAAAAATAGAATGTAAATATATGACTTGTATATCTATACAGACTGGTAATTTTATAAGGTCTACCAAAGGATACAGTAGGATATACCAATTTGCAGCCAACACAGTGTGGCATAGACTAGAATATAATGTCAACACTATCACATTTTCTTTGACATACTGTTGTATGCCCATATATTGTAATAATGTGCCTATATATGGTCATGATGTGATGTCATCATGACCATATTTAGGCATATCACATTTTTTTTGTTAGGATGTTTGTCAGACTGTTGATAAATGTTTCAGACTTTGATAGTGTATGTTGTTTCAGACATATCTGATCAAACAAGTTATGTAACTTTATAACTTTATGCCTGTTGAGAGTCTGAAGTAACTCAACTTCAAACTTTGATAGTGCATGTTAAAAAATGCAATACCCTATTTGGTATATAGTAAGGGGATTGTGTCCCGGTGAACTGGTTAATTCACCACCATCACCTCACTGGAAATAAGACTTCAGACTTTTATGGGTTGTCCTTGGCGTATCTCACACTGAAAAATTCCAGTGTATGCTTGTTCTGACGCATATCTGATTAAACAAATCATATGTTTTCCATGTCTGAAACTCTACAATATCAAACGTGTCTTAAAGACAGATATATGATATTGTTTGTCTGGTGGCTTATTGATGTGTACTGTATCACATACATTTTCGTAAATATATTTTCTTTTTCGTTGCAGTTTTCAGTACCAACGGCAGCCGATGATGAACTTTTAAAACAAGTTGCCGCATTTAGGAGTAAAAACAGGATACCAGTAAGTTATATATTAATTATATAAATGAAATGCATAGCTAAGGAATATAAGAACCAATTGCTTACATAAGACCCCTAAATTTTCAGGTACCGTAAGTAGTTTAAGATTAGCGTGTTTATCAGAAAAAACATGATCTGTCGCACTAGAAGTTTACTTAATATTTGATCTTTTTTAATGAGTAATTTTGTATTTTGATTGAATGTTTGATGAATTTATCACACAAAGGTGTTTTTTTTAAGGCAAAATAAGGTTGATAGGTCAAACAATTTCCTAATTTATGATTTCAAATCAACACGAATCCTTAGTCACCGCAAGCATATCTGCGAACCATCTCCAAAGATTTCTTTAATTGATATCAGAAGTTTTTATTGCCCTGTAGGCAATCGAATATAGCACCCGTTTGTTCAATTGTTGATGCTTTGGCAATTGCGACTTTGAATGAGTCAGAATTCGTCTGGTTTAAATAACTGGATTTGACTATTGGCACCGAGTCAGATCTCATCTGACAGTAGGGAGTTTGAAGGGGATGTGGGAACGTTGAATGTTTTGTATGAGACATTGTTAATTGGCCGGGGATATCCTGATTAGTTCAAATCTGTATCCTTGCTGTTAAATGTTTGGTTGCAAATTTGCACATTCTTTATATATTGGATGATGTTTAATTTTATTCTTGGCTAGATAACAAAGTATTTTAGTGAGTCTCGGCAAAAATGAGTCATAGTTTGTAAGGCTCCACTTTTCTTACATCTTATCAATAAAAATAATAATAAATCAACTTGTAAAGCGAATTTTATAAACCACTTAATGTCAAAAGAAACACCAATAAAAAGTAATTATAGGTTCCTATAGTTTTTAAAAAGCCCACAAAAAACATTAGAATATTAACTGTTAATGTGATGCTGTATAAAGCCATGTTTAATGAAACGCAAACTTCATTTTTGACAATAAATATTTTACGTAAATTACAAGTATATTATCATCAATTTATCATAAGCCTTGTCTACACGGCAAGAGATCACCGTGATCATCATGTTTATCCGTTGATATAGGTGTTAAGTGTCCGTGTAAATGGAGTTTATAACTCTGCATTAGGGATCAGTAACCGCGATGATATACTCAGTTACCTCTGCATCGCAGTAGCGTTAACATAAATCACCGGTGTGATCTTTATGCAAATTAGCTGTAGTTTGACTTGTGTGGGTCATTCCTTGAAGTCGCTGCTGATAAACAGTATGAATACCATTATTATGATTTGAAAAATTATGTTTTTATAAATTACATACATTTTTTAACTTTAAAAAAAAAAAAAATGTTTCAAAACAAGCAGCAGTGCACACATTTTTTTCAGGTCAGTTTTAATCATGTGACTTCCTCGTACAACGGATAAATTTTTTTATCGTGTAGACGCGCGACTGGAGATCATCGGTGTTACTTATCTGATAGCAAATGGCTGTGTAAACAAGGCTATAAATTGACTTAGAAAAAAAAACAATTGTAGTTGCCAGTTGATGTATTAATTAATCGGCATTGGCTAAGTGGTATATGTCCTGCCTCTATAGGCCCTAGTTTTAGATCTGGCTGAGGTGTCAAGATTTAAATTTGGCTTAGCGTCTTGAATGACTCAATTAAACATGAGAGTTATCTATTACACATCTTTTGGCACCTCACATAGTTAGTTGGGTTAAAAGAAAAAAAAAAATGTATTCGTTGACATGTGGATTGGCGCTACATGATCGCTGCTTTGAGTCCCCAGAACCAGAAATTCCAATTTTAATTTTAAAGAGGAAAAATACATTATCAATTTTAATGTTGGGGTTGTTGGCCATACAGAGCTAATTCATTCTCCACTATCGTTTTCATAGTTTGAATTCGCGAAAACGGCCGAAATTATCAATTCGCGAAAGTTTCTGGTTTACAGTATCTATTTAGGCTAGGCCTATGTATGAAGAATATGTAATAATATCAACTTTTTTACAGCTCAGTAGTTGATTCTGAAAACTTTAAAAAAAAATGATGTAGAGAAATTCCATCAAATGGGCTCTAAAACCTTGGAGGCAATGGCGCTTCCTCCCTTGACACCCGACCAGGGCTCTGCCCCTGGACCCCGATGGGGGGGGGCATAGGCAGTCCCCCCACCCTATACCCCGACCTATTTTAATTTACTCTCCTGTTACTTTCAAATTTCTCCTGCTACTCAAATTCATAAATAAACCCCTGATAATCTTAGCTAAACTTGTTCTACTGTTCAGTAAGGTTTACACAGGGGCAGTTCCATAGTTATGGACGTACGTTTCAAAGAACTTAAGAAAGCCAGTGGGTTTGGGTTATTTTTATGTTTTTTTTTGGTAAAATGCATAAATTCGATACTTCAAACCGATAATTATATAAAATATATATAAAAATTGATGTGAAAGTATATAATTCAAGCTTCAAAATGATACCTCATGAGGGTAGGTGCAGTAAATATGAAAATTGGATGACAAGGTTGACCTTTCGATGGAACTTCCAATAGCAATTCAGGAAGTATTCTTTGTGTCCATATCTTCATTTCTGTCTGATTATTTAATGAAGAAAATGTTTTAGATTGAACTTAACTTAATAATGTCTGTTGACCATGGACTGTGTATTGTATAATTGCAGTCACTTGACCAACAGTTGATTGTCTATTGACCATCTTTTCTGTTATTGATAGCTCTCTCTGTTGAATAATAATTCTACAAATTACAATAGATCAAAGTCCTCTGTCTTTCTGCCTGAGTGCTATGTAGCTATATGGCATACCTTGTACTTTTGAAATGGGGTGGGGGTAGGGGGACAGATCACGAAGATGAAGTGGGAATGCTTTCAATGATGCAAAATTTTAAGGGGCATGCATCCCCTAGTGTCCTTTTATAATATGTCACTTTATTATGTAATTCTAAGTGTAAGAAATAAAAGTATAGTATGTAGTGTTTGTAATAATGCTGATAATTAGTCATTCTCTGACTTTTTGATACAAGGAAAAATATATATCGTGAAAAATAGGTTTTACAAAAATTTACGTTTTCATATGATGCAAATTTACATTGTTTTTGAGCCCAGATTCTCCAGAAAGCCTAGCTAGAAATCAAACACTGCAAAGTATACAATTCCACTTTACTTTCTTTGATGTTGCTTAGGTGAGCATTGGGCCAAATAAAATAAATTGTTTGTTTGCCCTTCTGTTTTTTAAAAATGATAATAAAATGAATTTAGCATCATTTTAGCTTGCAATCTTTAACACTTTAATTCTCGAGGGTTGATATTTATTTTATACTGTCAGGTAAACAATTGTCAGGTTGCTGTTCTTGATTTCTCGATTCCACTTCTACTTTCTGTTCTTGATATTAACAATGATGGTTGATCTACTGTTATCATTGTTAACTGTTTGTTAGATGCCCTGGTGAGCATTTTATACAAGGAATCTTACATCATAATTTGACTTGCAATATTTATTTATTTAACCCTTTATTTTTTTAGGGTTGCCCTAACAGTGTTGGCTGAAATAATGGGGCTTTTATGATTTTATTTAATATAAATAAAATACATTAATTGTCCATGAACTCTCTATTGTATAATTACCGTCAGTTAATTTATTATCTGATCACAATTTACACTGTGCAGTAGTTTTTTCCTTGGACCGTCTACTGATGTATTTTACAGTGTCATTATTCATCATAACAAAGAAATTGAATTTTAAAAAATAGACCTCCATCAGGATAACCTTACAAGAAAAACATCACTCCACATGACAGCCATCATGTTATGAATTATACAGGAAAGTCGAATGTCCCGACCCCCTTCTCTCTTGGGTCACGGTCAAATTGGATCAATTAACAATATATGATCACTTTCTGATTGAATTTTGTGACAGGTTTCTCCACCCCAAAGTTGAAGTAAGAATTTAGCTGTCAATTTTGGGAACCCTGAAGCGAAAATATGAAATGGCTATGTTTGTTGGCAGTACAAGTAGGCTTGATGGCGGGATTTCAGACGGGTTGAGGATAGTATATAACCGAACATAGTGAATCACCATCCAAAGGAGGCTAAACCAGTGGTACTATATTCATGGCGTCAGCATAGAGTTCACTTTAGGTTCATAAGGTCACGATCTGCGATTAAGCATTGAACTTTGAAACAGGAAAAATGCTGTAACAACGCCACTTTTTGAAAACAAATTTACTACAGGTAGTAGCTTAAATTTGGATTGGAAAATCATTTTTATGGCTCAATAGTTTCTGATCTAAACATCTCGGTATTAAAGCATAGCTCAGTTAAAGCTAAGCCATACCTTTTAGGTGCCTGGTTCAACTCAGATATTGCTACACTCCTTGGGTTGCAGCTGAAAGGCTGTAATACAAGTTCCATACAGTAGTACAGTACTTGCAAGTCCAGTGTACATATCACTGATGTGCAATTGTAAAGTAAGACGAGATATTAATTAATTATTATTAATGATGAGTGTGCTAATTAGGTATTATCTTTGTGTAATAGTCAGTGATTAGATTAGTGAGTAAGAGTGTAGTAGCAGGTGTTAGTGTGAATATTAATGAATGACACTTATTTCTAAGATACTGTAGGTCATCAAATACTTAAAAGCTAATTGAAGAGCAAGATTCAATATTTGAATTGAAGTTATTAATATGCTTTTAATAATAATAATAATAATAATAATAATAATAATATTTCTATTTTTTGATGTGTGTTTGCATCAGAAAAATATCAGGAGTGATGTTTTGCCCTACCTGATGTGTTATTGTACCGAATACTCAGTAAGTTCTCGAATAGTTGTGAAAAATGTGTGATTCGGATGGGAATCGCACCCACAACCTCCAGATAACTAGCATGGTGTCATGACCACTAGACCACTGAGCTTGTGCTTAGTGTACAAGCTCAGTGTTGAATCTGGTCCCCAAGAAGCAACAGATACTGTTTCAATATTGAATATGAATAGACCACTAAATTAGCTGGAAATAATTAATATTCAATTCAATTCAACAAAACGTTTATTTCATCCAAAAGCCAAAAATGTACAATATAAAACAAAGCTTTAACTTAAGATCTGATTACATTACGGTATTATGTTTTATGTGATACATACAGTGATTTGTGATGGGAAAGTCACAGATAGAGGTCTTCCCTATATATCCCTTCAATTAAAAGCCCTCTTAAAGCCAGGTTGCAGAGGTAGAACAGAAAACATTTTTTTGATATGTTATACATAACTTATGGTCATTAATTAGATGAAGACTTGTATTTGGCATCTCCACCCCAGCCTCAAAAAAAGAAATTGGTTTATTTGCTATTTAAAACATTCACCTTATTCTCCATCCAAGATGGCATGACATAACCATATTTTAAGGACTCCGACTGATTTTCACACCAGTCCATCCCGGTCAATCAAAAAGTGTTAGTCTGACTGATTGGTTGCTACATATTGTACGTTAAGTGCTAAGTGTGTGTGCTATCACATAAACGTGTTGGACTGACACTTAAGTGTCTGCTTAATCAAATAGTTTGAAATAATTCAGACAGGTGTATCAATGTGTACAGAGCGTGAATCACTGTCGTCCTGTTTGCTTGATTCAGTCCGCATAATGATGTTGTTTTTACAAAAAGTCATTTTCAAAGTTCAGGGTAACTTTGCTGAGTCGTAGAAAGGGTTAGTCATGTAACATTTTTTACGTTTTCAAGTTTCATAATCATATATTGACATGATTACAATGCTCTTTTTTCATTTAGCAATGTAATAAATAATGTTACCTTTCAAAGTCAGGGCCGATTTTAATAGAGCATGCCAGTGGCACGCAACAATGACAAAAATATTCTATCATGCAGTGCAATCTATTTACACACCATGCGACAACAGCCGTGACATACGCAATATTCATGGCTTGTTCTGCAGTAGTGTACATTCATAGAAGAATGACCGGAGTTGTGATTAATTAGAATTTTTTGTCACGCGACAGTTTTTTTCAATAAAAAAATATTTGATGCTGAGAACTCTGTGTAAATAGGCTTTCAGTATTATTCGCCAGTTGTCCAAAGCTTTCTGTCTTCTTGATTGCTTCATCAGGATACTGATTTTGAATTAAGCTCTGTTGTATGCCTGTCTACATTCATGATGTGCCTATATATGGTCATGATGTGATGTCATCCAAAGGCATGGCTCAGATTATTGCACATATTATTATTTTCCATAATAAATGAATAATGGATTTGATAAACTGATGTATTGATTAAAATTTTTTTTTCTTTTGTCAATTATAGTGGCAGTGTATTTCTATAATACTTTATAAGTCTTTTCAGGGCGCTACACAAGAAATTTCACTATAATGTATTAGACATTTTTCTTTAGATATGATTTATGTACTTTCACTTTTGTGTATTATAGGTTTTGATTTTGCAATAAATGATGATTGATTGGTTTTTGTTTTTTTTTTACAAATATAAATGGTCTATGCAAACTATTAAAGCCCCATTCCCGGCAAAATTTCAATTTTTAAGAAAAATCTAATTTTTGTATAATGTTATAAAGATTTATAAATATAATACGGAATTGCTAGTTTAACTGAATTTAGACATTCCTAAGAATGAAAAAAAAATAAAAAAATAAGACTGAAATTTGATTTTTTGTGTTCCACACAAAAAATAAATGCGGATGAATTTTTCATTTTTGATTTTGCGATAGGTCGTGAGAAGAAATATCGTAGGCGCCGAAAACATTAGCCTATCCAACGCTGCTGGCTAGGCCTAGCCTTACCTCGATTTTAGGTTCTGTTATCACACATAAAAACGGCCGACATGATATTTTCCTTTGCTAGTATTAGGTATCCCAATGAAACCCGTTTTGCATTACCACAGTCCGGAAATATTCATGAAATTTGATGAAATGACATGATTTTGATGTTGAGAATAAAATACTCATTGTGAATGTATGTCAATAAAAATAAGATATCTTGAAAGAACTGGCTTTATTCTTTACTTACATGCATTTTTTAACAATATTGATGAAGTATTTGCAGAGAAAAGACGATTTTAAAATGAGTTGTCAAAAGCCGGCGAGCCGATTTTTACGCGCAAACAAATCTTTGGAAAACCCCTATTTGTTTTCAAAATACGATCGCACAATATCCATTACAGCTAGCGGAATAATTTCTTTTGCATGTTATCAGGCTATGAATCAGCTACATTTTGATGTATAACTCGCTTGGTATCGATGTGTTCATCCGCCGCAAAAATCAATTTAAGTGACAAGAATCGTATTTTTAAACTTTTTTCGTGATCAAAGTCTAACGGATTTGGTATTAAATTAAAGCTAAATTATTTTTTTGTTTCGTAAACCATTATTTATTTATTGATTGTACGTGGATATTAAGCGATAACACGTTTTATACGGTAAACTGAGAAAGTAATTCCTCAGAAAAT